TGTGCACCACTGTGTCTAGCGCAAGTTTATTTTTATGTAATCAATTCTGTTAATATTTTCCTTGTGTCTAGATTTTGTCATATTTAGGAAATTTTGACCAACTTCTAGTTCATAAAGGAATTCACTGTCTTGAAGCTCATATTTCTGTCTGAGGGAGAAAAAGGATAAAGTAAAATACATTGTATGTTAGAAGACGTACTAAGGAAAAAAAATTAAATAGGATGGGTGGATAAAGACCCTGGTGTTTAGAGTTCATGAGGGAGGTGGGGGTTGGGACCTGTGATAGAAGGGCGTACCAAGACCCAGCTGTGGAAGGGGCATGTTAAGGACTGTGAAGAGGAAGGCGACGTGTCATGACCAGGAAACAGTAGCCATGGAAAGGAGGAAAATTGGGAATGGGGTTGCTCTGGAGAGGAGTTGTGAGGAGGAAGGTGAGTAGCAAGTTTCAAGATCATAAAGGTGTCAAGTCTCCCTAATTTGTAAATTAGTACACTACCAATGAAACTACCCGCTGTATTGTTTTTCTTCTGGCACTGGATGTGTTAAGTATAAAGTTTGTTTTATTTGAAAGAAAAAATTAGCAAGAAGAGACAGGGAAACCTTGAAAAATAAAAGYCCACGAGGACAATCTCTTGTTTCAGAGACTAAAATGTATTACAAAACCTTTATAATGAAAACCCCGTGGCAGTGGCACAATAGGGTTAGATACACACAGGTCTGGAAAGAACCCAGACACAATTTGGTTAAACGTGGAGTTTTACTTTATAAATGGAASAATAATCCACACAGCAAAATTCCCAGGCTTTAAGAGAGCGCAAATCCTGCTACCTAGGAAGTTTCCTCATCTCCTCATTTGATTGCTGCCACCTGCCCCTGTTTCAGAGGCAACTGCTTCTCTGACTGGGAAATTTTAGCAAGTGCTAAAAATATGGGATATATGCAAAATAAAACCATACTGAAGCTGTTTGCCAGGATAAATTTCAAATGGCTCAGATTTAAATGTGGAAAAAAAAAGAAATTAAAAAAACTTAGCGGGTTGGGGATGTGGCTCAAGTGGTAGCACGCTTGTCTGGCATGCGAGTGGCCTGGGTTTGATCCTCAGCACCACATACAAACAAAGATGTTGTGTTTGCCGAGAATAAAAAATAAATAAATATTAAAATTAAAAAAAAAAAAAAACAAAAAACTTAGACTATCTTATCTCCTGACCCCATCCCCACTCCCATGGCACTGGGTTCCTCAGGGGCCCTCACACCAGCAMATTCCAGTGGACACTGCAGCCTCCACCTGTAAACCCTTCCTGAGGCCCAAGTGACTCCGCACACCACAGTGCAGTTCCCTAGCAYCTAGAGAAGGTGCTCAGTTATATTTTCTTGAGAGGAAAAGTGATGGACGGACTTTAAAGGGTACCTGGAGTATGGTCCATAGTRTGCTATTCTCTTAGCTTTGGTTGAATGAAAGGACAAGGACAAGGGAATTGAGAGGAGCAGCGGAGCAGCCTGAGGGGGACTACGGGATAGAGACAAGGGGCTACAAATTCTGGCCATGCTTTCTTTTCAATGTTTTATTGGGGGATGTGAGGTGTTGGGGCGAACAAATGTGAAATTCTCAATTCTGGTTTGAAGCCCCTCTTTTTTTTTTTTTTTTAATACCTTTATTTTTATGTGGTGCTGAGGATCGAACCCGGGCCCCGATGGTGCTAGGCGAGCGCTCTACTGCTGAGCCACAATCCCAGCCCCTTGAGGCCCCTCTTCATCTGCACAGCTGTTGCAAAGCTCCCTGGGCCTGGACCCAGCGCAGCCGCCACTGGGGCAGGGACAGGCCCTGGCAGAGCTCCCCGGAGAGGGTGGCTTGGCCTGGCTGCTCCCACCTGGGAAAGGGCATAGTGTCAGAGGGAAGGCCAGCCTTCTGACCCGCTCTGGCCTTCCACCATCATGACCTGTGCCCTCACTTTCCACCCGGCTTAGTTCCCTCCCTCTCTGTGCCCGCCTCTCACCAGTCTGCCAGGACTCCTTGCAGTTTAGGGACTCGCTCCAGTGCCTGTTTCAGCAAGTTCTCCAGCCTGTTCAGAGCCTGCCCCAGGTTCTCCTTCTGTTCCTTTTCCTGGGACGCCTGGATCTGCAGCAGCTCTGGAGRTTAGAAACCAGGGAGGCAGCTTTGAGGCCTCTGGCTTGCCGGAGCCTTGCAGCCAATAGGTCACCAAGTCTGCAGTCACCCAGTCTTGACCCCAGCAAGACCTCTCCCAAACCTGTCCYTCTTCCTAGGTCCTCATGTCAGGGCAATACCCCCATCTCCACCAGGTCTCATCCTGGATGCCTTCTTCCCTACCTTCATCAGGTCATGGCCACCCATTCAGCTTCCAAAGTTCATGTTTTTTGTCTCTCATTCCGTTTTTTGTTTGTTGTTTTTGTAGTACTGGGCATGGAACCCAGGACCTCGTGCATGCTAGGCAAATGCTCTGCCACTGAACTACAACCTCAGCCCATGTTTACTGAGTCTGTTTCTCCTGTCTTCTTACTCCACTCTCAGCCTCCCTCATATTCTAGGCCTCAGTCTCTTACTCTGGTCACATTTCAGAGAAGCAACCTGGCACCCATGACTTGGCAGTCATAGTGATCTTTCTGAAGCCTGAACCTGATCCTCTCTTTCTCCTGCTTAGAATGTTTCCCTAGGCCCCCCAAAACAGAGTYCAAGTCTTCAGCCTGGTATTTGAGTCTATATTATGTGGCCCCTGCTCACTATTCCTTGGAAAAAAACCTGACCCAATCCCAAGGCCCGTGTGAGATACCATTTTCCCTTAGGCAGCCCTTTTTCTTTAGCATCCCTCATTGCAAGGCTTTCTCCTCAGCCTTCTCCAGTCTTAACTTTTGTGGTATTTCTCCCTAGGACTGTGACTGGGCCTAGCCCCTCTTCATGTGCCCAGCTCAGAGCAGTTATAGATTATTAGCATGAGCAGATCTCTTGAGCCTGAATCCTGACTCCATCCTGCCTTACCTATGACCTTGATCATGACTCTTGTCCTTACTTTAGCTATATCTGTTGGTAAGTGGACTTAACTGAGTCATAGGCTTGTGGGGCAGGAAGCAGATTGGAGAGAACTCTGRCAATTGGACCYACAGGGCTTGTTGACAGGTTTGAGGGCAGGTTGGGATCTGGGAGGAATTAAGGACAACTGCTCTGTTTTTAGCTAAAGCACCTGTTGAGGAGGGTGGAATAATAAACTGACAGGAGGAAACCAGGAAGAAAAGAAACAGAATTGCTCTTTGGAGTAGAGGAAAGTTATAAAAGATTCAAGATGACCATGAAGTTGGGTATAGTGGCACATGTCTGCAATCCCAGTGGCTTGGGAGGCTGAGGCAGGAGGATCACAAATTCAAAGCCAACCTCAGCAACTTAGTGAGGCCCTAAGCAACTTAGTGAGACCTTGTCTCTAAATAAAATATAAAAAGCGGTGAGGATGTGGCTCAGTGGTGAAGCACCCCTGGGTTAAATCCCTGGTACCAAAACAAATAAACAAACAAACAACAACAAAAACAAAACCCACAAAAAACCAAAAACCCAAAACAACAACAAAAACAATGCTTATGAAGTAGGGACATGCTGTGATGTGTCTTGAACTGCTCTTATTTTTTCTACACAGTGTTCCTTTTCCTYGGGGTGAGATGGAAGGCAGGGAGACCCAAACTCAAGGGTCTGAAAATGGTTTCTTCCTACTTGCCTGATGGTGTCCCCAATTCATCTCTCATCAATTCACCTCTTCCACTTATTTATATTTTGATTCCTTGCTCTGTACTTCTACCATGGGTTTCTTGGGGCTGGCCAGCTGTCTCCTTACTCCCCATCAAACTATTTGGGCTGGCATCAGGATATCTGTGAGTTTCTGTTTTCTTATCTGCAAACTKCGGGTCTTAATAATCACTTCCCTCACAGTGAGGAGTCAAAGAGACGAAGTATATACACACCCTACAGACACCAAGTGCTTGCTGCCTGCCAAGTACYGTTCAATGCCGTATTTGGGTCACCTGACTGAATCTTCCCAGCAACTCTCTATGACACTGTTACTTTGCTTACTCYACTGAGGAGGAAACTGAGGCATGGGGAGATCATTCGACAAGGAAGGGAAAGGGTTGACAAGAGAATCTGGGTACTTTAACTCCATAGCCTAGTTTTTAACCACTCTATTTGGGGGTGATGAGTGAGTACTTGGCAAATGGATGGCAGTGTGGTCTAGTGGTCAGGAGCACAGGCTTACGTCAGACTACCTGGGTTCAAATCCCAGCTCTACCATGTAGGCAAACTACTAAGCTCTCTGTACCTCAGTTCCCTTCTCTGTAAAATGGGGAGAACAGCAGCGTTTACTACACGGGCTTGCCATGCAGCAAACAACTGGATGTGCTTCAGCACACAGGAAGCACTGACTAAGCAGTGGGTGTTGTCTGTTATTACTTGGGAGGCTGACGTGCTGAGAATGCCCAGGGAGGCTGGATGTGGGAAGCAGTAGAGGCCTACCCTGGGGGGATGGTCCCGATGGCAGACTGGTCTTCATGTGGAGCAGATCCCCACAACGGAGACTCTGCTGGTCCTGGAAGAATAGAAGGTCCTGACGAAGAGAGGCAGCCTTTGGGAGGAGCAGCTCTGGTGCCTGGAAGGAGGGGGACAACAGTCACCTKGGGGTGAAGATTGGAGAGGGCAGGGGGCAGATAAGTCATAGAGGACAGGCACTTACCTTTCCTGTGGGCAGCCCCAGTATGTGGCTCAGCGCTATGAGGYTAGAGCCCTTTGGGCACATGGGGTGCAGCTGGTGGATGGATGGTAGGATCGTGGGCAGGGGCTTCAACCTGGGGTGGGGGACAGTCCAGATTGGATAGAAGACTGAGTTCTAGAAGTCTGGGGGCCCAAGAACTTGAAGGCAGACCAGATTGGGGCTGGTGACCTAAGGGTGAGGTCTGGGCAGCCTGGAAACATTGAAGCTACATTTTTTTCAGGAGGTGAAGGGAGTGACAGTCACCCATGGCAGGGGAGACAGGGCTGGCCTCAGTCTTACTCTTCAGGGCTATGCCGCAGCAGGGTGCCCAGCAGAATGCGGGGCAGATGTCGGGCTTCCTCCTCCAGACAGCGAAGCAGCTCCTGGCTCTGCGGTACCACGGCCTCAGAGGTGGGGACAATCTTCCGCTGAACCAAAGCCAGTACCTGTTGGGAGGGAGAAAGTGGATGGGCAGCCTGCTTCCACCCAGCCTCACCCCTAGCAGATTTAGTCCCCTGTTCCACACCTTCCCCCACACCCATCTCACCTCTCCAGGACTGCGGCATAGGCGTGTCTTGCTGGCTGAGTTGCCCTTGATGAGCAGGCGGATCTGTTCCTGGGTTTCCTCCTGGGGAACCAAGATGCCCTTCAGAGTAGCTGTGTATCCTTCCCTCCTCAGACCCTATGCAAAGGGTCCTGCTTCCTCTTGGGAGTTTCACCCTGAGCTTCCTYCCCACTGGCAGGCCCAGTTCCTGTTCACAAGGCTCTAAAGCCTCCACTCTGGCCCTCCACCAGCTCCAGGCCCTGCCTCTCACCACCAGCTGGCGCCAGTGCAGGATCCGCTGCTGCTTGGCCTGCAGCTCCCTCAGCAGAAGCTGCCTCTGCCCAGCTGCATCCTCCAGTTCCTTAATCTGGGCCCTCAGGGCCTTGAGCTCTGTCCACAGTCCACAGCATCTAAGTCCCAGTATTAGCACTTTCCTGGGGGACAAGCAGAGAAAGCAAAAGAGAGAAAGGGGACTGAGACCCACACTGGGAGGAAGAGATCYGCAGGGATGCACAAGGAACCACAAACACTGGGAAACAAAGTGTGAGGAAAGGGAGGCAGGGGCAGCCACAGAGGTAGGACATACCCCAGGTCTACAGATGCCAGGGAGAGAGATGGTCTAGAGGCCTCTGCTGGAGGAACCCCCTTACCTCTCACTGGATCCCAGGGTACGTCTCTCTATCTCCTCGACCAGGCCCTGGAGGTGGCCAGTCAGGATTTGACGCTCCTTCAGGAGAGCACCCCGCTGGGTAACAAGTGCACCCACAGTCTGCCAGCCCTCCTGGGATGGGTACAAAGTTTGTGTGGGCATGATCCATGGGGATGAGGGGACTGAATAGGTCTTGGGAAGGTACCTAGGGTTACCTGGATGAGGTGCCCCATGGATGGCAAGGCCTGGCTGGAATCTGACTGGTCCGGTGCCTGGGGACTGGGGTGGGGGCAAAGCTGCTGAGGGAACAGCCCTGTATCCTTGCCTTGGTACTTGGAGGGAGCCAGTGACACCCACCTGCCACAATGGCACTGGGCTGCAGTTCTACCCCATGCGTGTTCCTGACCCTGTCCCAACTCACCCACCCACATGCCTGCCCTGAATGTAGGAACATTCTACTCCTTACCTGGACAGCTCGATATCTCTGAGCCCATCCCCTCTGCACAAGGATCGAATCTCTGCTTCTCGCTCTGCGGCCAGGTACTCTAGGGCAGCCAGGACATGGCCTGGAGGGTGGTTTGTCAGTAGGGTCTGGTGGATAAAGGTGAAGTCAGGGCGGGGGCAGGCTTGCATGATGGGACCCCATGGGAATGAGGTAGGGATGAAGACTTATGAGCAGGCACCCGATGTTTTTACAGGTCTGGAGAGTGTGGCCTTTCCTGATGGCCCTGCCATCTCACCTCCACTGAGCCAAGCCACTGCTGGTATGAAGTTCCAAAATGGTCATCCTGAGGGCTTCTGTTGGGGTGGGTAAAGGGATAGAGAATGTTATAAGACAAATCAAATACCTCTGTGATTATTACCACCCCACACTAAAGTAGGGACTGTCATTGTCCCCATTTTACATACGAGGAAATTGAGCCCAYGTTGGCATGCTAGACTGGAGATCCTTAATTCTACAGTTTACAAGTCTTGGGGCTTTTACATGCGTGCTAAACCTGGGATGCCTTCGTGACCCCAACTATCTAAGCTTCCTTGTCAGAGAACCCCTCACCTCCCTGCTTCCTTAGTTGGGAAAGGGTCTCTTCTGGTTACTTTGAGCCTCCCAGGCTTCCCCAACCCCAATAGCTGTGACTATCACTTTCTGCTTCTTTTTCTAAAAATTTTTAAAGTTGTAGATGGACACAATACTTTTCTTTTTCTTTTTCTTTTTTTTTTAGAGAGAGAGAATTTTAATATTTATTTTTTAGTTCTCGGTGGACACAACATCTTTGTTTGTATGTGGTGCTGAGGATCGAACCAGGCGAGCATGCTACCATTTGAGCCACATCCACAGCCCCCACAATACTTTTCTTTAAATTTATTTTTATGTGGATCAAACCTAGTACCTCACACATGCTAAGCAAGCACTCTAATAGTGAGCTGCAAGTGTGACCATCGCTTTCTATACGGGGTCACGGCTTGGGAACCGTGTCATGGAAGGGCCTGGACTTGATACAGCACAGAATCCCAGCAACCGAAGAATTAATACACAAGTTACTTTCTGCCTTTAAAGTAAAAGTTCTTTGGAGGGTTCCTGGGTCCTGGGAACACTTACAGGATGCTGCCACCCCTGGCTTGGAGAAGATTCTGCAGGAACTGGGCCCGGAGGGTACAGGCTGTTCGGACATCACGCTTTGGAGGAGAGGACAGAACATGGTACGGACCCAGATGTCAGACTGACCCCAGTCTTCTCACACCTTCATCTATGGCCTAGGGTCTTACCAAGACAAGAGGCTCCAGGGCCACAGCTGTTGATGTCAGGGGTCCAAAGGTCACATCCACTGTGGCCTTCCTGGAGGAAGAGTGCAGTTGGGGCAGGTTGTACCTGGGAGAACAGGTGTCTATGCCCCATACCCTCCTACTGCCAGCCTGGCTAGTCACAGATTTTGCTGAGCCTGGGTCTTAGGGGCCACCTCTAAGATTAGGCCACCCTTATATCCTGGCAGGACTACTGCATGAGCCCCCTTCACTGGTCTCTCTGCTTCTCACCCCTGTAGTCTGTTCTCCACCCAGTGGTCAGAAATCATGTTTCATACAACCTGGGGAAGATGAAGTCACTGCTCAAAACCCTCCATGACAGTGGGACCTTTCCCTGACATGTTCAGAATGACAATGTGAATAACAGGCAGTCTTTCTAGCACTATACATAGCTTACCACATATAACTATCATATCTTCCATAAAAGGGTGATATAAATATTATCATATTCCAACAAATCTTAGAAACTGAGGTACAAAAAAGTTAAATTCCTTGCCCAAGCTCACACAGTTATAAATGGCCAAGGCGGGGCATGAACTCCATCTATCAGTAAAACTCATATGCCTCCAGGGCCCTCTGACTGCTTCTCCTACCTCACCTCTTCATCTTGTCCCTCCTGTCTTCAAATACTGAGCTGTATTTGCTTCTTGGCAGCTCTTCCTGAAGGCCAAGATTGGAGCCTGGCTGTTCCCTCTCCATGAATATTTGTGCCCCAACCCAGGTTACCTCCTCAGAGAGGCCTGTCCTGAGCATCCTAGCTCAGGTAGCAAACACCTTTCCCTCGGTCACAGTCTTTTCTTCATTGAACTTATTTCTCCCCAAAATGACAGGATCTGTTTCCTAGTTTGCAGTCAGCCTTCTCTACATCAGAGCATAAGGTCCAGGAGCATAAACAGGGGCCTGTCCTATGTTTATTGTTGTTACCCAAGAGATGGTGCAAAACTAACTGGGCTTATGGGCCTTAAATCCTAGGGTTGGTTGTGCAGAATTCTGGAACCCAACAAGGATCAGGTAAGAACACTGGGATCTCAGAGGTAAATGTGTGGCCACCTGGTGAAAGCTGGTCTCTTGKGCAGATGAGGCCCACCTCTCTATGTCCTGTAGGCRCCTGAGCTGATTCTGCAGCTGCTGCGTGGGGACTCGCAGTCCATGCTGCTGTCTTCRCAGGTTTCCAGTTTGGGCCCGGAGGAGGAGAGCTCGATACTGGGTGTCCCGTGTGCTCTGCAGCATCTGCTCCACAGCCAGGTCTGTGGGAGACACAGGGGTCAGCACTTTTCCCACCCAGCATTACAATGCCCACCTTCCTGGCCCCATGGGTCACCCTGAGCCTCAGCCTCTCGCTCCATCAGCTCCAGGTTCTGGTCTAGCTCTTGGATCTCTGTGCGCAGGCGTGCTACTGTAGCTTCCAGCTCCAACTTCCGGCTGACCTGGTGAGATCAGGTATAGAGTCAGATGCTYGTCTGAGTGTGGCTTAGCCTGGCCTCACTACCTTTTGGGAGGCACCAGGCTCTTATCTATCAGGGGAGTGGTTAAGGGGTTTTTCTGTGCAGATTCCTTGTCTGATCTGAAGCACTGGTRTACCCTCTGGCTCTCCTTTTCCTCATGGATTGTTTCACTTATCCTCCCTGCAGGTTTTACTTTATTTTACTTTTTGTTTGTGCTACATTTCTGTCTCAGTGGGGGTGATCTCCTCCCTGAGTCCCACACCGAGGAGTCCTGAGGTCTTCTGAAAGCATCCCCCTGATGTCATCTGGGTTCCCTGCACCAAATGGATCACAAACTGGCCTTTGCATCTCTTCCAAATCTGGCCCATACTACTTCTCCCCTCACCAGGTTTGATGTGGAAAACCTTCAACTGTGCCATTGCACCAGTTCATTTCTGGCTTCCCCTGGACTGTAAGCCTAGGAATGCAGGAATTAGAGCTGTTTTGTGACCCTGTGGCCCCAACATATCCAGCACCAAGCAGGGAATAGAGCAGAAGATGTACAAGTTCTTTCTTGGGTGAAAGGGAATCTTACAGCATAGGCTTCTCACCTCTGGACTGTCCTGGTGGCCATACCTGAAGAAACCATGCCAGAGTTAGGATATGTGTGGGGCTTGCAGAGGGAAGGGCAGGAAGTATGAGGCTGTGGGTGGGGACAAGGCCAGATGGGACTGGAGAAGATAGGATGGAACAGCATTGAGAAGCACTTACCACAATAAGTTTCCCCGGATCTTCTTGACACTGCTATAGTGGAGAAGTGGAGGAAGAGGAGTTACTGTGAGGCTTGCCTGTACCCTCTTCCTGGCACCCTCCCCTGATCCCACTGGCTCACCTCTGACTATGCACATGCTGTAGGATGTAGGCCCAGATGTCAGCCCCCTGGCCCAGACACAGCCTGTGGGGACAGGGTGTAAGGTTATGTCTGGGGCACAACCCAGGTGAAGGATGCTTATTGCTAGGGTGATGGTRAAAGGGAAAGTCTTTGCTAAGGAGTTCTCACTTCTGGGGGAAGGAAGGCCCTTCTTAGTCACAGAAAGGGTGATTTATCACTAAGTATGGGGGCATCCTCATTCCAGTAACTTGCAGAGGAGGACAAATTTGGTCCGCCCTGAAGAGCTCTCATGACTAGACAGGGTCCTCACTCCTACAGATTCAGTCCATTGTGGTGGTTATTGCTAAGGGGTGGAGTGGGAATGTGGGTCACGATCAGGCCTGTCCCTCATATACAAGATGCTCTACTAGAACTTAACACTGCCAGGATAGGAAGGAGCTGGCGGACTCAGCTGTTGGGTCCTCCCTGGTGGCGACTCTCTGAAGAACCGGGAGACCCTAGGGCCCGCCCGACTCACCTGCGCAGGGTGGACTCCGGGGCCCGGGACGTCGCGGGCACCCGCATCTCTTCGGCCGCCCAGCAACCGAGTTCCCGCGCTTGCGGAACTAGCTCCATGACAGCGCCCGGCCCGGCCGCCGCCTCCCGCCCTCTCTTTCAAGCGTGGCGCCCTCCTCTGACGTCACGAGTGCGCCGGCAGCTAGGCCCCCGGGGCCGGAAGGACCCAGAGTCCTGAGCCGCCAGCTCGCGGGTGGTCGCGGTGGTCTTGCAGCGCCCAGTGCTCCCGCAGCGCCCAGTGCTCCCGTGTGGGCCCCACTGAGGGAGGCGCTGGCGTCCGCTGGCCTCCCCTCTGCTCCGCTGACCGCCAGCTGTTGGTGAAGAGGCAGAGGGGCCTCAGTGCCCTCTTCAGGTCCTGGAGAAACGGGGCTGGCATCCGCAGGGGTCCCGTGGTGGACCGCGGCACTCACTGCTCACGAGTTTCAGAAGCAGCGAGTCCCAAGGCTGAGCGCAGGTAGAGCAGAGAGCGTGGCCCCAACCTCGCCGCGCTACGCAGCCTTTCAGGTCCTCGCCTTTGCTCCCCATGTCATTAGTGTCCCAGGAGCTGACCCTGTGTTGCGCGATGACATCGCGCCCGCTCCCACTGAACTGCCACATCTCTGCTCTAGGCTTCTGCGCCCTCCAGAACGCCCAGAGCTCTATCTGTCGCAAAATGACCCACCCCTGCTGCTCTTTTTCTACCATCCCTACCTAGGGAAGCGCCCACCTCCCCCACTGAACGGTGAGTTCCTGACGGTGGGGACCAGCGTGGTCTTGCTCACCACTGATATAGCAGGTTTGGAAGAGAAGCTGAAGATTCCTTTGAATACTTCTCAAAGACTGAGGAGCAGAAGAGAGTGTCAAAGGTTGATGTAATTTGGTGGGCTTCCAGGAGTAAAAATTGGCAGGGTTGACTCCTGGATGTCTGCTTTCTTCACAGCTGTCATTCCCCACAACCATCTCCACCCTCAGTCCTGTGTAGTGTTGACTACTTTAAAATCAGTCAGTTAGACACCAAGTCTCCCTTGAGTCTATGAGCTTTTCTGGGGGCTTTGAAGATGAGTGAGAACTTTCAAATGTATTGGCTGTTAARAGRATGCAAAGASAAGTCACAGGGTTGGAAGAAATATTTGCAAAACTCATACCTGATAAGGGACGTGTATCCTGAATATCGAAGAGCTCTTGAATTCAACAGTAAGAAAAAAGCAATAAAACTAATGGGCAAAAGATATAAACAGATACCTCACCAATTGCATTACATATGGCACATAAATATACAAGATTCTCAACTTCATCAGGG